TCCTCCTCCTCCGTCATCGTCATTTTTATCCTCACCCTACAGCATTCAAAGATAGGTCACGTTTGTGCATGGAGATTTTTGTGGACCTTTTTCCTGGCCAAAGAGCCCGTGCCCATCTTCAATCCCCTCTCTGTCTCCTTCAGGGCGGACGCCGGGGGTTTGCGAACCCAAGAACGGAGAGCATAACAACACGCTACGCCGAGAGCTCAAGCAATTCTTTGGGTGGATGCGCAAACACGGAACCTGTGCCAATTTGAGCATCAAAATGTACGATCAGTGGCGGGTGGCATTGCAGAAGTCCCACAAGACCCGGAACCAGGTAGAGAAGGACTTCTGAGTTCTCACTGAAAACGGGGGGCCATTCAGCCCCGCGTCCAGGGTGAACCACTCAGTGACTCCAAGTGATTACTTACCTGCTCACAAGCTGGAAGGCATTTTTGCTAAACTGAAATTAAACTGGTTTTGGGGGGTTTTTTGGAGACTGGATGAGGTAAAAATGACAACCAGGCTGTCTAGTGAAAATTATTGAGGACTAGAACCTTATAGATACATGGAGAACTTAGCTCACATCAAAGAGAGGGCAGACAAGACATGCTCAAATTGTAGACGGATCTCTCATTTTGGCGCTTACGGCTGCACAAGTGGCCCATTTTCACATGCAAATCCTGATTTGGGAATCAGGAGATGGGTTTGTAAACAGGCACTTGCAAATTCTTTCATTATGAGTTAAAAGACCCACCGCTTTACAGAAGATGATGATGATTAGATTCTTATCCCTCTTTTTAAAAAATTGTATTTTGGTCAACTCAAGTTGGTGAACGTACCGAATACTCCTTCCTCCTCCTATTTTCCCCAGAACAACCCTGTGAGGTGGGCTGGGCCGAGAGAGAGAGACTGGCCCAAGATTCACCAAAGGGTGGTTAACAAATGAAAATGCAGACGTTGCTTTGAAGAGCCAGACACTTTTGTAGAAGTGGGTGGTCTACAATAATTGTGCAAATAAACAAATAGGCCTGAGGCTTTGTCAAGGGGGGGGGGGGGGGAGGCGGGATAAGGTGTCCTGCTGCTGCCACTGCTGGCCACATCTGGTTTTAACCCTCTCTTTTCTCGCCAGGTCCTATCCAGCGATAAATTGTAGCTTTGTTGGATAGTGGAACAAGGAGTTTCTCTTAAAAGCCAACCCGCTTGCTGGATCTGGGCCTGCCAAGGATACAAGCAAGGGAGCACAAGGACAGCCATAATCCAGGTGGCTTGTGTGGCACTGCCAAGGCTGTATCACCACCACAAATGCCCTTTCTGCACACCAGCAAGAAGCTGGCTGGAAGGCCCTCCGCGCCTCTTCCCCCAGACAGAGTAACTCTAAACCAGCTTCTCACCGTATGGTGCTCTTCAGCCGAGTTGGACTTCAAGTTCTCTAATTATTCTAGGAGGAGTTGTTCACCCTCGTTGGAGAGCATTTTGTGGGGAGAAGAGCTTTTCGTGCCATTTTTTTTTTATAGTGCCAAGATAAAAGCTGGAGATCATCCAGGTTTTCCCATTTCCCATGCCGTGGGGGGGGGGGTTTTCTCTTTTTCAAAAATTTCTTTCCCTTTTTACACCCCCCTATATAAAATTGGAATACAACATGGTTTTAAAGA